GCTGGCTGTGCTTCTCTCTTTGCATGGTGGTCATGGGGGGGTCATGGTTGGGGGATACCCAAAACCACCTCTAACAAGACAACTAACTCCTGGCTTCTCCAAGGTTGGCACAGTTTTGTTTTGTTACTCACCAGTTAGCCGCAAGCAGAAAGAGAGCAAGAATTCACTGTTACAGTTTTGTATGGTGTCATCACGGAGTCTGAGCCAGAAAGAAACACAGCACTTTATTCCCACAGTATCATTTCCACTACAACTGCGCGGTCTATTTCCACATAGTGTGTACCAGCTGACATTGGTAGTACAACTGAATTACTGTACTCTATCTTGTTACCAGCTGTTCTGAAATGATGCTACAGCAGTGACGGGACTTAACAGAGGAGAAACACAACAAGGAGACACACCTTAAACAAATCTAAAACAAAACCAAAACCCATATCACTTACTCATTTTTAAAAGAAGATTAAGGGGTGACAGTGCACAGCTACTCCGGGAACAGAGCTTTGTTCAACTGTCTTTTATTTTTAGTAGCAAAAGCAAAAGTGATTCTCAGTATTTTGAAAATTCAGTAGCAGCAGTATTTCTCATCTCCAGAATGAATCTTTAGTTTTCTTGCTATTAATATTAATTCATTCAAAATCCATGCTCTGTGTTACAGACTCCATGAGTTCAGTGGTCAGATTTACAATCTCTGCCTTGTGGCTGTTTCTCTAATCTGTACCCTTGGGAGGTCTGCGTGAATACTGTTTGGTTTATGAAGTGAAAAATTATCCCTGGAAATAAAGCTTGAAATCATTAAAATGTCTGAGATAGCCCTACCACAATGAGCCATCACATTCCTCCAACCACTTCCTCTGAACACTGGTTAGAGGAAAAAAGCATTTACTCATGGTTGTCGTAATTCAGACACATGGGGCCTGACCAACATTTTTGGCATTGCTACATACATTTATGAAAGTTACAATAACGCAGAATGCCTGCATAGAGTACTGTGGGTGTACACATAAGCAGATAGCAAGTTGTGAGTGAAAATAACTTTTTTGCAAGTAAAAAACTTTTCCTTTTTAATCTAAGACATTCCTCTATCATATACAGTCAACCTGCATAAACTGTGCTCTGAATTCAATCCTTCTTCACCAAATCCTCTCTTCGCTTTAATTCACTGAACTGTAGAGAATGTAATAATAGATTGTTTTAATCATAGAGTAATTTCATCTTGGAATAAGAAATAGCTGTGGTGAGAATCTTTTCCCACTTACTTTGGTAAGAAAATGTATTCCTTGAAACTCAAGAATTGATTAAATGCCCATCACTTCTTACAGCACATCATTAGGGGGACTTTCAATCAATACAGCAAGGTACCTTTCACCTGTACTGTCACCAAAATGTGGCTTCTGCTTCTAAATGTACCTTTGAACAATGAACTTACAGAATATGGGAAAAAGAGGGACTTTTGTAGGGTGATTTGGGATTTGAACCTTAGAAAGCAAGAGAATAGCAAACAGGATATATACGGACTTGCTCTGACATCACACCTGCTATACCATCATGCAAATTTGCTTTGACAGAAGTGCCAGAATAGTGAAGATGATAATTTAGGGAAGAATATTCCAAGAAGTATCTTTCATTGGTAACACTTAAACTCATTTGAGTCCTAAAAGAAAGAAGACTTGAACCAAGGCTGGTGTGGAGCAGCTCTTTCCATCTCTGTGGAAATTCACAACTCATTTAGCCCACATTGAGCCTCTGAGACTGAGTGCAACTGCTGTCATAGGATAATTTGCTAATACTCCTAAATATGCATTTCTGCTCCTTTTCTTTCCTCTCCACCTCTCTACATGTGAGTATAACATTGCTTGGCAATTTAAATACTTTCCAAGTATACTTTTTTTTTTTTTTTTTTTTTTTTTTGTCTGGAATCCTAGAAACAAAAAGTCAGAGAATACCTTCCTGAAAAGAAAATTCAACCCAACACCAGTATGATGTCATGTGAGGAGCCCAGGAAGTCTGCTTTTAGCTCATGATATCAGTTACAGGCTACTGACAGCTGAAATGTTGACAATAGGGTTTTTTTTCCTTTGAAATGGCAGAAATTCTAAAATGTCTTTAGAAATATGCTACTCCAATGACATTTTGGTCAGTTCTGCAGGCTCAGAGTAGCCTGCAAAAACTCAAATTTTGGCTGAGTCCAAAGGATGTAGCCACATAAAGGCATCTAAGCTATCTTTTACAGAGTACTGACTGAGCTTGCAAAGATTTTTTTTCAGTACTTGGAAAAGTGAATAGAATGTTGTTCTCCCAGAGAGCAAGAGTTTCTTAGGTGTCTATATTCTTGTAGTCATGACAGCTAATTTACTTCCTACAGGAACTATTTATACAAAACTTTCCTTAATGAATGATTTTTTTGTTCACCACTGATTCTAATAACTAAGCAAAAAATTGCTGTCAAAAAACAAAAACTTGCATTAACTTTGCTCCGTAAGAGTACTTATATTAGCAGATATAAAGCATCAGGTATTCCATGCTTTTCTAACTGGGCTACTGCCAGTAATGACTACATAAGACACATATTCACTGTTCTCAGCTGCTGAGCTGAGGGTAGATCTGATCACGGACAGTCCATTAAAGATCCTTCATGCAGCTGTGTAACTTAAGTATTATAGCAGCTATTCATTTCTGGCTCGAACCAGAAAATATTCCTGTCCTGTCTCCATCCTGCTGAACTGTTTTGCATATTTCCAATTTTTAGTTCTTTTATAGGCTTGTGATAGAGAGTGATTTAATTTCATAATGTGACGCTAGGCTTAAATGAAAAGTGATAAGTATAGCTTGATAAACCCAGAGCACTGATATTTAATGTATTCATCTCCACCCTGCAAGTTTAAAAACAATGATCAGTGATTAGAAAATAAGCTTAGCTTGATTTTATTTATGGAACACAGTTAATGAATCTGTTTTTCACTGAATAATTGCAGTAATTGACTGAAATAGTTGTAGAAAGTGGAACAGTAAACAGGTCAGATCAAGTGCAAATTTAAATGTTTACTCCTGGATGTCTTTTAACCAATTTTTATCTCAACGGATGTGTAGCATTTTCTTGTTGACTTAGATTTTCTTCATATTCCTGTCCAGAATTCAAACATAGGTTTACAATAACTTTCTATGGGCAATTACCTCCTATTGCTAGTAGAGCTGGTGATCAGATGACAGCATTTTCTTTCTTTCCTTATTGCCCTACAGTGTAAGGATGGTTGTAAAAATAAAAAGTGAAAGTTTGTAAAATCCCTTATGAAGACACCTGATTTTTTTACTCTACATCTTCAAACAAAATTGTGAAATGATGTGGCAGTTTTACATGTTCACAAAATTAATTCACCTTCAGTTTGCCTACAGTGGGAATCCAGAAGCTGTAAAATGGTGCACCATATGTAGCACAAGTGACTGCCAGGTATCGATGCCAGTCTGATGAGTACAGATGCCTACTCTGAGGAAATTTGAAGTATTTGTGCATTGAAACATGTTCACAAACTCTTCAGACAGGCTTTCTGTGGGCCTCTGTTTCAAACAAACAAAAACAAAAAGAAAAATGAGAGATTTCCCTGAAGATGACACATGTAGGAAAAGAAAATAGCAATTGCTAGCACTGGCTAAACTTAAATCAGCTAAGGACTGCAAATCATGACAAGTAATTCTGGCCAACTTGGTTTTTAAAATCCTAAGCCTTGATAAACAAGAAAAGCAAAATCTGATCTCCACATCTGTAAGCTTTAGGTTAAATCACTTGTCTGAACTGAGTCATCTCAAGTTGCTAAAGGTATAACAACCCTGTAAGAGCTTTCTTCTCTCATTTTATAACATATATAACGAATTATTATTTGAATTTCATGGATGTTACTGATTCTCAACCTTACCATTCCTAAACTTTGCTACTAACTTTGACATTTATTTCTTCTGTTTCCAAAATGTTCACAGATTTTCAAGCTTGCCCATGCCTTACCAGGAAGAAGTGCAGAGGTCATCAAATTAGAATTAGCCCAAGCTGTAATTTCCACTGAGCACTGTCTTCTGGTCAGGACACATCACGGGTCTCAAGGAAGCAGGGCTTGTTAGTGCAGGCTCAGAGTCATGCTCCTATGGCAGCAGCACTTCAGGACTTGAGCTAGTTCAGGCTATGTCAAACCAAAAAAGGATGCCAAATACCAAAAAAAACCAGCAGCTATCAATAAATTCTGAATGTAAATATGAGCACAGTTGAGTTTTTCAACACATTAATTTATATCAGTAACTTCTGCTGAGTATCATGAAAAACACTATGTCAGGCAGCAGAATGAGACCCACACTACTTTCATAGAGTCATAGAATCATAGAACTATTTGAGTTGGAAGGACACTTAAAGCACAAGTCCAACTCCCCTGCAATGAACAGGGACACCTACAGCTAGAGCAGATTGCTCAGAGCCCCATACAGCCTGACCTTGAGTGTCTCCAGGGATGGGGCATCCTCTAAATCTCTGGTCAGCCTGTTCCAGTGTCTTACCACCTTTACTGTAAAAAACTTCTTCCTTATATCCAAATGAAATTTCCTACCATTAAGTTTGAAACCATTTCCCCTTGTCCTGCCACAGCAGACCCTGCTAAATAGTCTGTGCCCTTTGTAGAGCCCACCTTGAGATACTAACCATCTGTACAAACAATAGAAGATTCCTGTGTTTTAACACTTACCTTATGTATGTGAGCATTGACCATATAATGTACACATTAACATTTGTAATGAAACAGACTGCTTTTTTCATTTTTTGTTAGTTACAAAACCTTATTTGTAACATTTGTAAATGCTCATTCCATTATTTGCAAACACTAACCAAACACAGATTGTCTGTGCCAAAGGCCAGAGCAGGAAGGTATATCCAGTGGCTGCAATCATCTCAACCTAAAGAGAAAGAGAAAATTTAAAAAGTGCCTGGCAACTTAATTGAAATCTTAATTGAATTTAATTGAAACACAAAGAAAAAACATATATTTTGTATTTCTCAAAGGCCAGATTTGCCTTTCTTTAGAAATTCATAATGAAGTAGCTTCAGCAAACCTCCCTCCATCCCTCCCCAAATCTCTTTGCATCAGGTAAAATTGAAATCTTATTAACTTGAGCTAAACATAGCCTGCTTCGACTGGATGGAAGACTTCTACAGGGATAAATGCCATCTCTACAAAGCGTTCTCCCCGGCTGGTCAGGTCCCCAGGTTAATACATATAAATAATGCTTTTGATTTATGTTACAGGCAGCTGTAACAGATGAATGGCTTTAATTTACCAAGCTAGCAAATCAGCATTTTTTTAACAAAAAGTAAATTCCTTCCTTGCCAATGCAATTGAGAAGGCTTAGAAAGGCTTACGACATGGACTCTATAGCTGATCAGTAACCCAGAGGAACTGTCTCTTTCCCCATTGAAGATAATGGTCCGTTTCTGTGTCTGTTAGTAAAGGTGTGACCTATCAGTTATTGGTGGAAACAAAGTACACAATAAATAAATCCCTCATGGTATTTGTCTGAGTATCTTCTGTATTTGAAATGTCAGAGAACTTTCACTCAAAATTCAGCCTTCCTCATTTCTAATTAATCTCACCAAAATCTTGCATCAGAGATGAAGGCTGGAGTGATCTTCCTGCAGCTTTTACAAGCTGGCTTTTACCAAATATTTAACATTCACAAATCCACTGTATTCAACTGCTTCACATGCCAAAATAAGGCTTATGTATGAAATACTAACTGCGACACTGTTAAAGGCTGACAGTCTTACAAAGCAAATGCACCAGATCGATAACCCAGAATCAAAGAAGCGTTCTGCTTGCCACTTTCCATACCCATACTCAGGAAGATAACCAGGTGTAGTAAGGAAATTATCTGTATCCTGCTTGCTTTTCCTGTTGGTGACGCCACTTTGCCTGTAACTATCACTTAAAATTACTGAAGACTGCATCATTTGAGATAGGCCAGTATGTATATCTGAATAGCTTGGACATAACATATAAACATATGTACAACTACCCCTTAATGCACCATTCCTTTCTTATTTGGAAATGCGATGTGTTTGCTTTCTGTTATTACCATCAGGTATTTGTTTCACCTCATTTCATCTGGAGTTCGTATAGACATAATAAACATCAGTCCGGATGGTGATCCTCAGATCAGCAGTGCTATAGTCTGAGTCTTCACAGTACCAAAATATCAACAGCCCAAAATCCTGGTTGTGTGTAACTGAAAGACAGAACTATTGAGACACTTAATCAGGATACTTTTACTGATGGCGATACTCTTCTTAGGCATCCTTTGCAATATGATTTGATGAGAAGAAATAGTACATCTAACAAGAAAAGCTTGTTTACTTGTCTTGTTTATTCTTTTATGATAGAAGAACTAACTTTGGTGTTCTACTTCTCTTTTTTTAATCAGTAAGTAAAATAATGTAAACAAAACCCACATATCTCAACCTAGCTCATTTTTAATGTGGCATTCAACTAATTTCCATTAGGGTCATGTTTATAGTTGAATTTTTAGTTTATTGTCATATATCACATCCAAGCTAATTATGGACTCAGAAAAATAAGAATGCCTGAGTTAGTACAGAGTGGAGTTTTCAATTAAAATATAAAATATTTTTTTTGGCAAGGATCACAAGATGGTGCTATTACACATGGCCATCGATATCAATCTTCATCCCCTTTTAGATATCTAAATTATTCTTTAATGTAAGAAGAAATATTGTGTTACATTGGAGTGCATTTGAGATTTTGTTTTTCTGAGAATGTTTTTTATAAGTACTTATCTCATTTCCAGGTCTGAGATACAATTTCTTAGTAAAATAAGTCTGCCAGAGAGTCTGCCACTCTGAGTCATTGGAAATGGAAGCAGATAGATAAAGGTGCCAGGCGCACAATCCTATATAGTTTTAATTTGGGGCTTTCTAGTTCAAAACTCATGAATAAAAAGGCCAAGTTTTTTCATATCTTTTAATCATTGCAAGTGACCAATAATCTAAAATTAAAGTAATGAAACCAAGCTATACAAGGAAATAGACTTGCTATATAATCTGCATAGTGTATCTGGGTTTCATTTTACCACACTGGTTTAATAGCTTATTACAGCAATCCAGCTGGTGTTCCAGGAATAGATCATTTCGCTGCTATGAGTGGGATTTTTTTTGTTCTCACATTTATCAAATATTCTGGCCAGCTGGCAGTCTTTGCATGCTTGGCTTCATACTGCACCAGCCTCAGTGAGTGCAAATAATCTATAAAACCTTGATGTGGAGGATTAGATGGGTTCTAAGAGGACATCTGTGAAAACATGGGTGAAAACCTTTGGAGACTTCTGCAGTCACTTGCCAAAGGTGTGTCTGTTCCTTTTCCACATGGCTGGGTATTATGTAACAACACACAGTAATGCACTTGCCTGCAGAGTCAGAGAAAATAAATTGAAAGCATATAATTAAGCAGCACAGGAATATGGTTTTACCATATGCAGAATACCGTTCAAAACCTGCTGCTTAGTGAAGGGCTCATATGAAAACCAGGGAAAAAAGATCATATTTTCCTGTTGGTTTTTTTTTTCCTTTTTTAGTCAGGAGAAAATATGGGATCCTCTTGTCACAGGCTTAACTGAAATTCAGTCCTGGCATTCTGCTCTGCCAACTTAACAAATATCATCACCCTCTAAAGAATGTGGTTAGCCTATGGAGCTTTGATATATAGACTGTAAAGACAACTTTACCAGGGGTTACATTTTAAAACCAAAGAAAACAGAAACACTGTTTGAGCTGCTAAACCTTTTTTGCTTTCTTCTGACTTTACAGTCCTTATTCAGTACACTGAAGGTGAGGGGCTTCTACTAAGCAAAGGAATGTGTAAGAAACTTACTCGCGTAGTCTGAAAACCTAAAACACCTACTCCAAACAGGAGAGTGGAGCAGGTGTGCTTTGAGGTTATGACTGAAATGCAAACAAAAATAAAAGAAGGAGCATCACACTGTGACCCATCAGAAGTCTAGTAAACATCCTCAGGTGCTGTTGTTTAAAGAAGAAATGCAAACTGGGAAAGGAAGGATCCGGTTTGCAATTGAAACTCAAATTGAAGGGTTTATGTGTAGGCATCTTGATTCAAAATTGGGTCCATAGAGTCAGCACAGCACTAGCAGCAGCAGGGCTCAGCATCCCCACCAAAACAAATGTCTATCACCCCTATCTGCCTTGCAGAGAACATTGCCCAGCCTTGCACTGCACCCCAGGAACATCTGAAGCACCTTCAGGTCCAGCATCATACCTGCCAGCTCCTGAGGAGAGCTGTCTCCAGCTGATACAGCACACCTAGCAGCTGGAAGAGTGCTGTTTAAGCTATATGAACTACACGCTTACCAGAGGGTACAGCTCACACACATTTGGTCTAGTGAGGATATGAGAACTTCTTATGTGAGTGACTGAAATCGAACAGGAGTGCTCCTGGGGTGTGTGGTCATGCTGAGTCAGATCTGAAAGAAATCTCCTTCCTGGTACTCCCAGACTGCTTCAGGATGGGAAACAAAGGCTGAAAGGGAAAAGGGGGAAACTATCTTCAGAAGGATAACCAAATTAAAGTGCTAATACCTAGACTTTTCAGGGCAGTTCAAATGGAATTAGACACTTTTTGACTGGGCTGCTGAATTTCTTTCTTGATATCTATTTATGGTGAACTGGTTTGAATTTCTCCATTCATTTTCATTGCCTAGACCTTTTTTTAGTATAACAAGAATCTGGACACGTAGATCCCAAATGTGTCCCAGTCTGGAAACAGATCCCCTCCATCCAAGAGTGTCCAAATGTAATATTAAAAAGTATATGGCAGGAACTGAACAGGTGCTGCTACAAATTGAAACGTAGGAGCACGTGTAACATATGGATAGGGCAATTAGTGAGTTAAATGTGTGTGAAGGAAGATGACTGCCAACAGCAAACGCATGTTACAGTGTATATGGGCCTGGTTGCACTCCAAGAAAGGAGAGACACCCTACCCAAGTGCCATGTTATTGCTCATCCACTATGAGTGAAGTGAAGACCACAATTTGTGTCCCCAGAAGCAGGAGCTCCTGTGGAGGCACCAGGATCACTGGTGGCTCAACTGAAGAGACTGGGTTACCTTTTATTCCCTGTGAGCTGGGCTATCTCAGAAACAGCAAGATGCATCAGTACTTAGCTCAGGATAAGATATGCACTCTCATTAACAGATTAGTAATAGTTCTAGCTTTCAGCAGTGTATTTTCAGTCCCAAAGAACTTTTGTATCTTATTGGCTTATATTAGATGCCTTCTACAACTTTTTTCAAAGATAGATACCATCCACAGTATGAACTGTACTGTTTAATGCACTCAGAACAGATATTGATTCTTTTTATTTATTTATTTTTTCCCATCTTCCTGCTGGGGAACGGTGCAAATAAAAAAATGCATGCAAAAAAAGAAGATGACATCTAGTCTTTTTAAAAATGTGATCTAAAACTGAATTTTAAAAATAATTTGAAATCAAGCTGAGTGGGAAGACAAATGTAAATCTAATGTAGGAAAGTTTAGAAACATTTTTTGAAAACAGATGTTTTCACATTTCCATTTTTAAGCCTCAATACAGTTTTGGCTTTGAGTATCAATTTCACAGTTATTATATTATATATTTTTAATTATTTTATATTTCTTCTGTAAAAGAGAACTTCTATAAATCCATCTCAGAATAATGGATTTTCTAGTTTATCTTGAGGATAATGTTTTCCTTACTTATGGAGATCTGGGAAAGCCATTTTTGAATATCATTCTTTTTTGATAGACAATTTAATGCATAGGCCATGACCCAAATGCTTAAAACATTTTAGCAGCATCACTGCAAACCAATATGTTTCTAATAACATAGACTCACAGCACAGGCATTTTGGCAGACAATTCTTTAGTGTGTTGTTCAGCAGAAGTAAACATTTGCCAGTAAAGTGAAAGGAAAAGTTCTAAAGCTGTGGTATATAACCCACCACCCACCAAAATCTTATAGGTTGTTTCTTCAGGATTTGTCCCTGTTTTTTGCTGCTCAGCTCACTTGTGAAAGGGGAAAAAAAAAGAAAAAAAAAAAAGGAAGAAAAACCCCGAAACTAAAAATTAAATATTGATCCATGTGAAAAATTGCTTTAGCTCTGTGAAGAAAGAAGGCAGATTTTCTACAAGACAAAGGCCAGGTCAATGTCGGGAATCAGCAGATGCTGCTCAGTTGAACTATTAGTTGAAATAATTGCATCTGCAGGGGATTGGGTTTGTCTGCGAAGAACATGGGAATCTCTAAATTAAAGGAATATACTTTAACAGAGAGGATATGCACATTCACCCTAATAGAGGGTAATACATTAAATGCAAGGAGAAACCATTGTGGCATTTCTGATTTTCCTGTACATAATTTTAAGTATATTTGAATGATTTTATTTATTAAAAGATCTTAATATTGTCTCTGCAAAACTCAAGCAGCACTAAAATTCTGTAGTCTAGACTTTTCTGTAGCCAGGATTGTCCTGGGAGTGGTATTCTTTTGGTTTTAAACTGAGAAGTTATCAAACCATATTATCAAGCATTTCTGTCTCTCATTAGAAATGAAATACATATTGTTAAGTCTGAATTAAAAAGAAATTTGAGAGGTTTGATGTACATATGCATGAGAAAACTGTAAACAAAAAATTAATGCAGGTGGGAATGGCAGCAAAATTGTAAGGTATGAAAGAACCTCCCTCCTGAAAATATTGGATGATGTTGACAAACCAAATAATCTTTTATTTTATAGTATTGGAATTCTTTATGTTTCACATAAAACTCAAGGATTACCTGAAAACACGAGTATTCTCAGAAAAACAGGGACACCTTGCAGAGTTGTAAAGCTTTAACCCAGATTTAATCTTCTCCAGGATGTAAACTTCAGTGTGTCCCTTTTAGACATCTGGACTATCAGCAATCTGACTCTCAGTTTTGGATTTAGTCAGCTAAACAACATAAACAGAATGAATACCTTTATTTAATTCTGCATTCAGCATTAAGACACTATCCTTCTTTTGCAAAAATTTCACTTTGTAATATTGTGAAGATTTTTATGGCCATACTGAAAACAAAAGACATCTTCTACTGTGTAATATGAAGATGCTGATAAGTCCTGAGTTTCCTAAGCATAAATGTGTTAGAAATTCTACTTATTTTAAGACAGGAGCTTTTTCTAGAGATATTACTGAAAGCAAGGCACGATTTTTTAACTTCATCCCTGTCTTACTGCTTTTCCTACCCTCATTTCTTTCGTCTTTTCACTTACAAAGTAAAATTCACACACAGGACTGAATTTTCAAACTGTTGTGCCATGATTTCATCTTTGCCTCTTCTACTGACTTCTTAATGGGAGCTATCTGGGAAAAATCCCAAATAGCTTTATGAAAATGTAGCCTTCTGCAGCTTTTTCTGTGAGTGACAAGTGCAACGATTGCAGAGGTGGGAGGTAAGAGACAGATAATAAGGAATTTCAACTCAGAGTATCTTTATGACACATGAAAGGTGAATTGAAAATGCTTTCATTTGGAAATTAATTGTCATGGCTTTTAAGGTGATTGATGAGATGACTCAGATCTACCCAGCAGTGGTCACTGTGTGGTAACAGAAAGCTTGCAGAGTGAGCGTATGTATCATGCATTTTACAGCTACAGCTGTCTGTCCATCTATTTAAATGTATCTGAACAACTAAAAGTATTGCATTACTAGGATACAAAAACAGTTAATTGGAATCTTGTGAATAATTTTTTTTTTTTTTCCACAAGCAAAGTAAGTGTGTTATAAATAGGACCTGCTACATCATGGAGGCACCAGTTTCAGGAAGAAAAAATAGATGAAAGTTAGTCACACGTGGAGAAGATGAGGGGAATGGAAAAATGGTGAGCATGAGGGTGGGCCTCAAACTTAACCCAGAATCCACAAGAGCCTAATGGCAGAGACACTTATCTGAGGCATGGGAGATCAAGGTTCAAGTCTTTGGTCTTTTGGTTCAAATAGGTTTGAACTTGGATTTCCCGTGTTAGTTGGCTGAACTCAGTCAGCCTTCCCCAGTGCAAAAGGAGCCTGGGAAGGTCAGGCCAAATCAGTCAAACCCTTATGACTACTCCTCTGTGATGTGTGAGACCCTGCAGTGCGCTTTGGTCTCAGCTGAGTACTTGGAGATGATAGAAGAATCAGTCTCTCTCTTCCACCTTTGTCTTTTTTTTTTTTTTTTTTTTTTTCTCTCTCTTCTTCTTATGAGAAGCTTTTAGACGTTCATCCCAGTGTGGGACAGGATTTTTTTTTAATCTTGACAACTTTATTGGAGCGGGGAATAGCCTTTCCACCCAGTTCTATATGCAAGCGTTTCATTTTCCCCTCAGGATATTAAGATCACACTGAATTCTGAATTGAAGATCAAGACTCAGATATGTCTCAGGCTACTTTGAAATTAAGCTTAAATATTCCAATGAATATTTAGCTAAGGATCATTAGGTTTGTAAGAAGTGATCCAACACTACTGTTGATCTGAATGATGAATTTTTTATTGCTTTCCTTCTCATCAATTCTACTTTCAAAGCCTTGAAAATTACATCTCTTTGTGGTTTTGCCTTTTAGTGGTATAGGTTTACAGAAAGCAATACTGAAAAGGAATGTCATGACTGGCATTTAAATGTCGCTGTGCACAGTCCCAGCCGCCTGCCTGTCTGCAGTGGGGATGCTGACAGAGCCCTCCACTCCCATGTCCATGGCCTTTCAGCAGCACCAGGGCTCAGGGAGCATCTCCTCAGCCCCAGCCAAGGCTGAGTTCCCAGGCCTGTTTAAAAAAACACATCTCACAAGGCAGCTAACCCAGCCTTCTGCTTAAAAGCAAGATCAATAATTATAGAATAACTTCCTCAGGCAGCCTATTCTGGTGCTCCTATTTTTACAGCTGGAAAGTTTTCTTAATGTCTAATTAGGATCTCTCTTGCCATGACTTAAAACCCTTACTTTCTTTTCCAATCCCAGAATGCTTTATTCCTTCCTGTATACAGTAGCCCGGTTTTCTTTCCCAAATAATTTCTCCTCTCCTCTCCTCTCCTCTCCTCTCCTCTCCTCTCCTCTCCTCTCCTCTCCTCTCCTCTCCTCTCCTCTCCTCTCCTCTCCTCTCCTCTCCTCTCCTCTCCTCTCCTCTCCTCTCCTCTCCTCTCCTCTCCTCTCCTCTCCTCCCCTCTCCTCCCCTCTCCTCCCCTCCCCTCCCCTCCCCTCCCCTCCCCTCCCCTCCCCTCCCCTCCCCTCCCCTCCCCTCCCCTTCCCCTCCCCTCCCTTCCCTTCCCTTCCCTTCCCTTCCCTTCCCTTCCCTTCCCTTCCCTTCCCTTCCCTTCCCTTCCCTTCCCTTCCCTTCCCTTCCCTTCCCTTCCCTTCCCTTCCCTTCCCTTCCTTTCCTTCCCTTCCCTCCTTTTCCCCTTTCACTTTTCCCCTTTCCCCTTTCCCCTTTCCGCTTTCTTCTCCTTTCTCCTTTCTCCTTTCTCCTTTCTCCTTTCTCCTTTCTCCTTTCTCCTTTCTCCTTTCTCCTTTCTCCTTTCCTTTTTTCTCACATCATGTTTTCTGGATATGTCACAGTCACATATATGATACCATGGGATTAAGCTTAATTTAGTTAGCTACCAATAAGGCAGGCTAATACAAGTGGCAAATCTGCTTGCTTACTTACTCACTGAAAGCAACACTCTGATCCTCCACCAAGAAGAAATCAGCGATGACAGACAGTATTGGGATGCCAGTCCAAATTAGGTCTTCAGTGGCAAAGCTTGAGAAATGGAAGTCTGTCTAGACTAATGGAACAAGAAACATACAGGGGTCATAAATAACATCTCGTTTTTTTATTTTTATTTTTTTCCTATTTTCCTAAAGTTTTTAATGTGCAAGATCATATAAACTGCTGGCACTACCCTAGCTTAACTAGTCTGAAACTAGTAGTTATCACTGTATGCTGAGCTTCTAGCATGACAGAGATTTTGTATCTCTGAAGTATTGAATCTGATCTGCAGTTTCTAATTCTAACCATCCCAAGGGACTCTATTTTCCAGAGGAAGTTTTTTTCCCACCATCTCACTCATCAGTTCCTTCCCGTTCATTCTTTTTGCATAATTTGGAACAAGTTCATATAACATTCTCCCTGTCCAGATAAAATGGAGTACAGTGATATTATCTTTGCATCATTTGTTCAGTATTTTGCTCACTTTTGACCTAAAATTGTTACCTAAAACTTAAGATTTCACATTCAGGCAGAAAGGCCATGGATAGAAGATGGTAGTTCAATTGCTGGGATTAGAACACAATGACTCCTCACACATATTTTGAAATAAAGTGATTGCAGCCATGAATTTCAATGAGATTTATTCCTCCCAGAAAGAGAAGTTTGGCATTTAAGAGTGCACCCGTAAGAGGATTTTTGGTTTTATGTTTAAAACATAAACACTTATATTTTAAACTCATGCCCTATCTTTAACTGAATGAACTAAGTGCAAACCGTTAGTGGTAGTAGTGGTAGCTGCGCAGTAATTGTCTCAAAGCTGGAAGAGCTGCTAGGAAACAGCTTGTGGAAAACATTGCTTCTTTCTCTATTCCTTATGGAATTTTCTAGCACAGTCTGGCTCTTTTGCTATCTGCCAGCAGATCTTTTAATGCATGACCTATACCAAAATCTTACAGGGTGAAAAACCCGTGTATCATTTGGCCTTAAGCTTGTTGAAAAAATAGTCTAGTGCTTAAAAGAGCAGAATGTTGGTTTGGAGGGGGTTTTTTTTGTTTGTTTAAAAGGCTCAAATTGTATTTCACTTCAGCCCCAGCATAAAATAAGAAGGTGTAAGCACAGGAATGACTATTTATAAACGAGATAATGGAAAGATTTCTAGAATAATTCAAACACATTAGTTGTCATAATTAACCATTAAAGAAAAATACTAGTAACATCTCAAATTAATAGCAATATAAATATTCATAATTTAAAGCCTTTTAAAACAGTTTGTTGTGCAGAAGACTAATTTAAATAGGCATACTCAGTCAGGCTTAAAAATGAGTATGTATAAACTATTTATTTGACTCTGGATGAGCAGAATCAACTATCACGTGTTCAGCCTCATGGAATGAAGTTTCCATAGCAGTCCAGGGGTTCTTACTGGGAGCAGACAGTTCACAAAAAGTTTGCAAAAACAGCTCTTAGCTCTTATCTGTTCTCATAAAAAATGTGAGATGTGGTGGTGTAAGAAATTCATACAAACCAGGACTTGTCCAAGAAGCTGGCATGGATGTGAGGTATGTAAGGTTGCAAGCTGAGCTTAGCTTTGTGTCCTCATCCTCAGGATGTTGCATCCCTCTTGAACCCTTAAGAGGAGCCAGAAGAGATTCAGGTTGCTTACTAGGAAAAAATTTCTTCTCAGAAAGAGTTGTGAGGCATTGGAATAGGCTGCACAGGGAGGTGGTGCAGTCGCCATCCCTGGAAGTGTTTGAGAAGCATGCATATGTGGCACTGAAGAACATGGACTAGAGCGATCACAGGCATGAGTTGATTTTTGAACTAGATGATTTTATTGCTATTTCCAACCTTAATGATTCTATGATTCTGTGGTACCCTGTCTGAGATCTAGCACCCAAGCAGGAAGGAGTGAGGAAAGTCCAAGTGGTAAAACAAGCACCTGGGGAGGGAGATGCATGCCAGCATGTCCTGGCAGTTAAATCTGCTAGGTCAAAGCCTAAAACCCATATATCTGCCCAATGCAAACAAAAGATGTCTTTATGAGGATTGAATCCCATTGCATGAGGATTGAAATAGATCTTCCTGCTTGTAGTACCACCTGATAAGCAGTGTCAGGAGAGTGTCTGCTCTAGCTGCATGATTTTTTATCCTTTGTCTGTACTTTGTAACTTAAAATCTGCTGAGAAACCCCTACACGCAGGTCATTTGGCCCTGTAGGTGAAGGAGCTTTGGCCAGGTTATTCATGTCTCTGCTTTGTGAAGCAGACCCAGAACAGTCATAACATGACCTTTAGCACTCCATTTATCTTCTTTATGTAATAGAAGTGATACTGTTCAGCAATTGATCACAAGGAAATATTGATTGTATATGGCTAGGACATGAGGAGATCTTAATGGCTGTAATAAAATATATTCATTGTTAGCACACTGGTAGGTATTTAATTGTTTTAAATAAATCCAAGTAAACACGTTAGAGATCCTGTACCTCAGATGTGCTTAGAATTGTGAAGCAATTTGGCCATTCACTTTCTAGAAAGATAGAGCATCTTCATCCTACACCATTGCCAGAATAACTTCCCTATGACCTCCCAGTTTTTACTGAAAAATTGTGCTGATCCCAAACTAGCAGGATGAGGAGAAATCATTTTAGTTTAATATTTGCAGTACATCAAATGTCCTAATAATCTCATATCATAAGAATAAAGGATTAGTCTTTTAAAAAGTTACAAAAGGATTTCTTGGTTTCATCTTTTTATAACCAGAAAGGCATTAGCATCTACACTATTAATAACACTGATAAATTACCTTTTTTTTTTTTTCACGTAGAATGACATGCTTTCATCCGATCCAAGTATTTGGAGGATTAGGGTGGAAGGTGGAATTGGGCTCTTTTTAATGATGTTCAAAAATTTTTCTCTTTTTCAGAGCTGCTATCTGTTTCTAACTGCAAAATGAACACGGGTGCTTTCTAAAAAATAAGGTACTAATAATGTTTCATTATTGTCTATGTATTTGATGCAAAGTTATTTTAAAGATGCTAAACAGAATACTTATAGGAATTCTATAAGTATTTTACTGAAATAAAAACAGGTTGTTCTACAATTTTTATTTTGGATAACAAACAATAGATTTTTGCTACGTGCCATCAGCTCTGGGAGAAGAGATAGCAATTTAATTACCTTCTCGTGAAGAAGTTAGTGCATACATCTGTCCTATGAGTCTACAAATATTTTTTGTAATATAGGCAGTGTCTCTGCACTACTATTTACACAGAGTAATAGAAATAACTCTTAGAAAGGACTGTGAGATGTTATATAGGAGAGGACTGTCGCAGGAGCAGCTTCCCATAAATCCTGTCTGATGCCAGTGTATGTCATCTGTTCCTCTGATTTCCAGTTATATATATGCAGTCTTCACATGGGATGTGGCAGAGAGCCATATTTCCCTGCATTTCCATAGAAGAAAATGATGGTTATAGCAAATAGGAATTTGTTTTCTGAATTCATGAAGTCCATTTAAATCCATAAACCCAGCAAAAAGAGAACTTACAACCATATTAGCATTTCAAGCACAGAGACTCTGGCTGTTCTAATGTGTGCTTTCAGCACTGACCTGAACAACTTTGCTCTGAGGGAGGCACGGGCTGCAGCTTTGTCCAGTTCGTTGTTTCGGCTCTAGCTCAGCCTGTGTTGTGCATCTCAAGGGAAACAGGAGAGCCAAAACTGGAAGAGTTAAGAACAAAATTCACCACTGATCAGGTCTAATCCTTCCTTCCTAGCAGCTGTCATATGCAAAGCTAGCAACAGTGGTATCATATCACCCAGGACTAAAGGGAGTCTCCTAGTTCTGGCTCTGTGCCGTACCATACAAAATTGGTCGATTATATTCCTGTCTTTGCTCTCAGAGATCCTTCCAGCTATCACTGGGGGTAGAATTGGTAGGCCTAGGAACTGCACTGCTAACAGCTCTAGTTACCCAAGGAAACAGTTAAATGACAGTCTGCTTAGTAAGGCAACACTGAACAGCTGCTAGATCATGAATGCCAGAGTCTGATATATCAAAACCAACGTAATGCACTGCCTAGTGGAAATCACTGATATGAGAGAAAGGCACAGCAGGCAAAAGAAGTGGGGACATAGAGAAAAAATACCAAACACAATCCCAAAATGCTGAGAGTGAAAATTTATGAACTAAATACTAGTTAGCAAGCTGAAAGCAAGCAGATTCAAGCCAGTAAACAGCAATTCTGCAAGGATGCACCAACCAGCAGGTCACTGCCAGAAAGAAATTGCATTAGACTTTGCATTAGACTTACACATCAAGGGTTTGGTAGTGGGATTCTGACCACAGCCGCATTCCCTTGTGCTGCTCTGTGGGAGGAGGTAGAAGAGGGTAAATTTCAAGATGTTTGTACTCTTCTCTTAGCTGTTACTGCTCCAGTCTATTAGTAGCTGGCAATAAATTGCATTAACCTCCCTCTACTGCATTTGTTTTGCAGTGACAGTAATTAGTTAGCGATCTCCAAGACCTTTTCTCAACCCACAGGCTTTTTTTTTTTTTTTTTTTTTACTTTATGTTTTCTCCCTCTATGCTGTTGAGGAGGTGAGCAAGAAAGCAGCACAATGGAGCTGCTCCTCAATGTGAAACTGCTGCAGTTCATGCACTGTAAATGCACTCTGAGAGAAGCAGAAACCAGTCTAAGGAGGATTTTACTAATATAGAGAACAGCCAGATATTTTCCTGTTCCAGAGAGCTGTCTAGTACAGCCTTTCCCACATCTTAACTACAAATGCACAGATAAAGCCTAATTTATGGTGCTGTCATAAGGAGCATTTTTCTGGCAAGTACTTAAAACATGTTCATTCATATGTATATCCACAGAACAAAGTGCTCATAAGGAATGCTCATCCACTTAGTACATGTTAAAGTACAATTGAATAAGTTGCAATGAAAGGGCTGAAGTTCTGTACAGAAGCAGGATGGTACACAAAATAGTGATATGTTATTCTTGGAAGATCCCCAAATTTGGACACAGCTTTAACTTTCCAATTCTACCATATGCTTTCTTTCTCATTGTTACTTTTTTTTCTGTGGTGATAAATTCCATAAAGAGCCAATCTTCTAAAGACTGAAGGGTATCCCAAAAGACCTATATAATATATATCCTGAATATAAAATGTGTCCCAAATCCCTTTTGAAGTACTCCTTGGTGAGTCACTCAGGGCAGTATGCTGTAGGTACACAATTCTTTGCCAGATTCCACTCCTCTCCTGTATGCTTCCTGTTGAGCAGGATTTCCAGTAACCCTAGAGACTTGTAAGATCACAGCAGCATGGCCTAGGTTGCCATTTAGATACACTGTATCCATCCCAGAATTTAGAGTATAGTCATGCCCTTAAACTCACCTGTGGTTCACAACTAATGGCCATGTTTACTATGGCACGGTTCATTTAATTTGATTAACAATCTGGGATTTCATTAATTCTGTAAGCATTTCTTAGCAATATCTGTAGCAGAAAGAAAAAAGTAGGTCATCTTTTCATACTGATGGTGTTACCAAGAAAACTATTATAATTATCTAGATTCTAGTTTGCTGATACTTTCTGCATAAGAGTTTATGTCTTCTTCTAGTCCCTGCTGTGAAATATTTGTGTCCTTTTAACTGTCTTGGCAAGAGGATGACTCTTTGTTTTGTTTGTTTTGTGACAAAAGGGTATTCCCACAGGTGATCTAATCATGCAGCTCAGCTCTTACAACATTTCTAGCATTTGTCATTTGTCATGAGATACTTCTGAGAAGCATTAACAGTCTAGTAACTCCAGTGAATTATTTTTCATCCTGTTTCCATGACCTCATTTCCATAGAGACCCCTATTTCTCATTATGAGGGTTCTCTCCCTTATTTTCATGCTGTTACATAAGCACTATAGAGTTCTTTCAGCTTATGCAGAATTTAATGAGGGAGTATTGTTTCTAAAATGACAAGTCAACAATGAAAGCTCTATCTTAAAAGCCAGCAAGTGTAAGGAGAAAGGGAGCAATTGCCAAAAAATCAATCTGAGTTTCTTCTTGCAAAGAAAATTAAGCAATCAGCATTTTAGACAGGCAATCAGAAATAGCAGTAAGTTAGAAGAAAGTGGGAAGTTATTCAAAATGAGACACAGGTGGAAGGAAACTTTGGTATTAGAAGAAGATCACTTTGCTTTGTACATCACCTTGATGAGAGCTGATGCCCACCTCTGCATGCTGAGAGGTATACATAGTATGTGACTTACACACAACACATAAATATTGAAATGGGAAGAGTTTTATAAAGTTGCAGTGTTGCACATCCTCATACACTGGCTAAGACCAGCTTCGGTATCATTCACGTGCAAGACACTGCACTTGTCCTTGTTGAACCTCATTAAGTTGCTCTCTGCCCAACTCTCCACCCTGTCCAGGTCTCAATGAATGGCAGCACAACTTCTGGCATGTCAGCCACTCCTCACAGCTTTGTATCGTCAGCAAACATGCTGAGGGTTCACTCCATTCCTTCATCACTGGTCACTGATGAACATATTAAACAAGACCAGACCCAGCACCAATAAGCAATGAGCAAAGGTCTGGAGTAAATGCTGAATGTG